ACATCTTTCAAGCCCTACAGTTTACAAGACACACTACAGTTTACAAACTCACTACAGTCTTGCAAGACACACGAAGTCTTACAAGACACTAGTCTACAAGACACCTCATCTTCAAAACACACTACATTCTACAAGAACACACAGTCTTTCAAGACCACTACGTCTTAAAAGACCAGTACAGCTTACAAGACACATACTTTTACGCCATACAGTCTTACAACACACATTGCAGTCTTAAAAACAACCGTCCTACAAGAACACTACATTTTTTCAAGACACCTGTAGTTTTAAAAGACACACACAGTTTTGCAAGACAGGGCTACAGTTTTACAAAGTCAGCCGTCTTAAAGACAAACAGTCTTAAAAAGACACACTCAGCTTACAAACCGCTACGTTTTACAAGAACCTACATCAAACAAGACAACACAGTCTTACGCCCAACGTTTAAAAAAACACACTACATTTTTCAAACAACACATCTTCCCAAGACCCTACAGCCAAACAACCACACATCTTACAAGACACACAAAGTCTTTCAAGACCACACAGTTTTAAAGACACATACAGTTTTTACAAGACACACTCAGTCTTTCAAGACACGTGTATCTTACAAGACACACTGCGTCTTAAAGACACCTACAGTCTTCGGGAACTCACAGTCGTAAAAGTCACACTACCTTTAAAAGACACCCCAAAAAGTTTTCATGACACTAGTCTTACAAGCCCAAACTACGTCTACAAGCACACGACAGTCTTACAAGACAAACTACAGCTTTCAAAAGACCACATAGTTTTACAAGACATGCTACAGTTTAAATAACTCTACCCCTTACAAGACACATACATCTTACAAGAGCACAAACAATTTTCCAACACACTACAGTCTACAAGACACCTGGTTTTTTCCAAAAAGACACACTAAAATCTTACAAGGCACACTACATCCTACAGGAACACTCCCGTCAAAAAGACACACTTCAGTCTTACAAGATACATACAGCCCCTACAAACACACTACAGTTTACAAACACACTACGCTTTCAAGACCCCTACTCTTACAAACACCTACAGTTTACAAGAACACTACGTGTTTCAAGACACACTACAGTCTTACAAACACACACTCTTACAAGACCACAACATTTTAAGACACACTGCATCTTACAAGACAACAACATCTTCAAATCACAATGTTCTTACGGAACACTACACTTACAAAAACCTCTACAGTCAACAAGAACACACAGTTTTACTGACACAAAAAGTTTTAGAAGACTCACAAAAGTCTTAGAAGCCCCCTAAAGTCTTACAAGACACTAGTTTTACAAACACGCTACAGTCTTACAAGACACACTACAGTCTTACAAGACACACACGTTTTAAAAAGAAAAAACTACAGTCTTACAAGACATACTCAGTTTACAAAAATATACAGTTTTACAAACACACTACAGTCTTAAAAAGGCACACTAAAGTCTTTCAAGACCCACTATTTTTACAAGCACACTACAGTCTTACAAGACACACTAAAATCTTCCCAACACACAAAAAAGTCTTACAACACACTTTACAGTCTTCAAGACACACTGAAGTCTTACAAACAATAGTCTTAAAAGACACACTACATTTTACAAACAACTACAGTTTTACAAGAAACAGTCAGTCTTACAAACACACACTGTTTTTCAAGACCAATACACCTTGCAAAGACACACTTCGTCTTCAAACACACTAAGTCTTTCAAACACACTACAGTTTTACAAGACACACTAAAGTTTACAAACACACTACGTCTACAAGACCACTGTACTTAAAAAGGCACCTACAGTTTAAAAGACCCCCTACATTTTTCAAGACCCTCGTTTAAAGACCACTAAGTCTTAAAGCACGCTACAGCTTAAAAGACACGTACAGTTTTTCAAGACACACTACACTTTTACAAGACACACAACAGTCTTACAAGACACAGTACATCTTACAAGACACACTAGCTTTCAAACACACTACGGTCTTACAAGACACACACATCTAACAAGACACATACAGTCTTCCAAGAAATACGTCTTTCAAGACACACTACAGTCTTACAAGACACACCAGTCTAACAGACACACTCAGCTTACAAGACACACTACAGTCTAACAAGACACATTTACAGTCTTCAAAACACACTCGTTAACAAGACAACCAGTCTTACAAGACACACTACATCTAACAAACACACTACAGTCTTACAAGACACACTACAGTCAACAAGACACACTACAGTCTTAAAGACCCCAACAGTCTAACAAACACCTACAGTTTTACAAGACACACACATCTTACAAACAACTACATCTTCAAGACACACTACAGTCTTACAAGCACACTACGTAAAACAAGACACACTACAGTTTACAAGACACACTGATCTTTACAAGGCACACACAGTCTTACAAGAAAAACTACAGTCTTACAAGACACGCTACAGTCTTACAAACACCTACAGCCCTTACAAGACACCTACATCTTCAACACAACGCTTCAAGACACACTACAGCTTACAAAAACACCTACAGTTTTACAAGACTCACACAGTCTTACAAGACACACTGAACCTTACAAACATAGTCTTAAAGAACACTACAGTTTTACAAGACACACTACAGTCTTACAAGACACACTAAGCTTTCAAGACACAGTCAGTCCTTAAAGACAACTACATCTTACAAACACACGATCTTACAAGAACACGCATCTTACAAACACACTACAGTCTTACGGACACTCTACAGTCGTGAAAGACACCAACTCTCTTAAAGACACCCCGAATTTTCCCAAGCCACAGTTTACAAGACACCTCAGTCCAAAAGACACACTAATCTTACAAGACAAACTACAGTCTTTCAAGAACCTATATCTAAAAGACATGCTACATCTTAAAAGACACCAAACAGCCTTACAGACACACTAAGTTTACAAGACCACTACAATCTTACCAGACACACTA